AATATCAGGTCATATTTATTATTTTGTGGAAGTGGGGACATAGAGACAGTTTCTGCACTCAAGCTCCTAAATCAAGTCCCATTATTAGCTTCCAAAGTGCCTCATTTATTTCTCTCAATAATGTTTATACAAAAATAAAATACAATTTAAAAAATGTGGTTAATACAAAGGTAGCAAAATCATCTTGAATGATGTCAGAAGAAATAAATTTAACTATTAGATTTAGATATGGGCATGAAGATTTAGAATGGCAGGTTGTCTAAGCAAAACAATCTCCAGACACTTCAGTTTTCAAGGCACTTTTAAGTACTTTCCCCCGTGGAAGAGCACTCCATTTCTGTATTTTCACATTCCTTGGGATACTGAAAAGCTGAAGACAGAGAGAGAACTGAAACTTCTTGAATATAATCTTTTACCACCTGAAAATGGTACACCTTAAAATCAAGTTCACTAAACACCCCAGGTTGAGCATCCTTACTCAGGCAAAGCTCCATTAACTTCAGTGGGATATTTGACTGAGTAGCAAGTGCGGGAATTTTCCTAAATGCCAGGTATTCGGTAATCAATTCCAATCTTAAATTATTTTTCCTTCTATGATTTATATGGCTAGAGAAGTTTCAGTGAAGGATAGACATTTCTTGGAGACTCAGTGCAATTCACATCAACCACTTGGACACACTGAAGTTGGGCAGCAACCAGTTTAAAGATAAATGGGCTCTTCACCCTTTCACATAAGTGGGACCATTTGTTATTTTCACAAGTCTCATAACAAAAATTATTTATAGCTGTGGAAAGAAAAATAGTGGAGAAATAGGCTTGGTGCAATTTATAAGAACAATTTATCAGACATGATATGGTTGAATACTGTTCACTTTCAAGTGAAATGCAGCAAGGCTGTGCCCTCCATAGAGTGAAATGATTTTTACATGCCTTGTCACTCTTGTTATGCCCATAGAAAGAAATATAGTGAAAGCAGAGACATGGTGTTATTTATGTTTTTTAGAATGTTTTTGCAGTTAACAGTTTTAACTTCCATTGTGTTCTGTATGTCCTGGTTTTGAAAGGCCACACAAAAACTCACCCACTCAGCCAGTATTTCAGCTAAAATGCCTACAATGTATCAAAGTCATGAGGGGTGGGGAAGAGATTCTTTTTTGGACTCTCTCTGTTTCACCCACATACTGCTGGTATACATTTGACAAAGCTGTGTTTTCAGTGGATTTATACCAGCATATGATCTGATCCTGAGTTCAGGAAAATTTCATTTAGGTACCATATGATCTTCACAAGCCCGTATAGAAAAGCAAATTGCCACTAGAATTTGGTATAAACCATAGTAAAATACAATGGTTGTCATTAAAAAGTCTGTCCTTCTCCACAGTTACCCCACCATATTGTCGGAGACTCAGAGTTACTTCCTATTCAGATATAGATGCTCAGAATATAGGGCAATATAGCAACTCAGATATCACTGTGTGTTCACCATGGCTGTGTCTAGACTGGCAACTTTTTCTGCAAAATCAGCTGCTTTTGCAGAAAAACTTGCCAGCTGTTTACACTGGCCGCTTGAATTTCCGCAAGAACACTGACTTCCTACTGTAAGAAATCAGTGCTTCTTGCGGAAATACTATGCTGCTCTCGTTCAGGCAAAAGCCCTCTTGAGCAAATCATTTGCGCAAGAGGGCCAGTGTAGACAGCACAGTACTGTTTTGCGCAAACAAGCCTTGATGGCTAAAATGGCGATCGGCGCTTTTTTGCTCAAAAGCGCGTCTAGATTGGCATGGTCGCTTTTCTGCAAAAAGTGCTTTTGCGGAAAAGCATCCGTGCCAATCTAGACGCTCTTTTCTGCAAATGCTTTTAACGGAAAACTTTTCCATTAAAAGCATTTGCGGAAAATCATGCCAGTCTAGACGTAGCCCATGAGTAATAGATACCATTTTTATGACAAGTGACTTCTATGTGTACCACACATGACATGTTATAATTAACATATCACCAGGAATTCCTTTTGTCTGAGATTTTTAACTCTGCTTGGAGATTTTTATAACCTGAAGTTATATAAACTGACTCTGGGAAAGTTTGACAGTTGAACAGTGATGGTCTCCCCCCGTGAGATCTGCAAAGCAGTCCCAACTGAAATGCAGCAAGGCAAGAGTGGGGTTGGAATGAATCATTAATAAGACTGAAAGCACTTGAGGAGGAAATAAACCAATAACATTGTAATGTATTACTGTTGTTGTTATTGAGACAGAATTGTTTTGACCGCAGTTTAACATCAGATGGGATCTGTCTCCACTCTTTAGGGCCAGGCTATTCTGTAGTGTGGTCCATGGCTTCTCTTTGCTGAAGGCCAACACTTTCAGATTTGGGAGCCAAAACGTACTGTTTTAGATCCCTAACTTCAGCCACCCAAGTTTGAAAATGTATAGCCAAAGAATTCACTTCAACTCTTTTTTATGCTGATTTGACATGAAAAGCTCAGCTTGCATGTAATAAGTATTTATAAGTGTGTTACCTAAGTACAAAAAATTCAATTAACCTTCCAAAACTCACACAAGGATTGATTCTGCCATTTAGTAATCCTATTGAAATCAATGGCACAACTTCCAATGTAAGGTACTATTGCACATTAATAACAGAGCTGCAGAATCAAGCCAACAGTAAGATTCACCCTTAGTCCCAGAGTTTTTAGTATCAGTTCACTGGATCACATTGACTCCCTCCTTTATACTTATCATATAAGTATCAAATGAGAAAACTCTTCTAACTACAAATGCAGTGCAAGAATCTGCCACCCTTACTCACTCTCTGTTGTCTCCAGTAGTACCTGGAGGAAAAAGAAGTGTGAGAGAATCTGACTGTCAGTGATTAAAAGTTATATACACTGTACATGATCAAGGTTTATGTTCTGCCTCCATTACTCTTCTGCTGTCATATTTTGTTGCTGTATATATCCAGAAATATTACTCCGTAATCAGCATAACTACTTATACACGATACCCTCCATTTTCACAGTAATTACATGTCTTTTTTAAAGATTGATTTACTTGTTTGCTTATTACATGTACTAATAATAATTTAACCAAGCATTTCTAAAAAATACTTCCCTCAAAATCTTCTCTCTCCTATATATCAAAGTAATGCTTTCTAACTGCACCAGCTCACTCAACAGCCCTATTCATATCTTTGGCAGATTTCCATTTCTACACGATCATTCTTTTAACACCTAGACTTGTTCTTAGCAGGATTTTTTTTAATGGCCAATTGATATTCTTAAAAGTTTCCAAGTTTTGCCGGTAAGAGGCTTCCTGGATAACTGGGAAAAGTCAGTCTCCAAAATCAGTTCAGGTCTTGTTTCCTTCGTAGAAGAATATGCTGCTGTTTGTGTGTGCCTAAATCCTGACATGTTATCTCTCCCGTTGTATACAATCTCAAAAAAAGGCACATAGTTACCTCTTTTGTTCCCTTTACCAAGTAGCTATTTTTAGAGTCACAGTCAGGGAAGTCACAGCTAAAATGGCAAATATTGCAATGGAAGTGCCAATAAGTATGATTGTCCTGTTATGTGTAGCTGGAGAAGGGGGAAAGCTTTTTTTCTTAGAAACATTGGGGCAGGGAAATGGAGCTTCCAGCTTGACAAAGGAAGCAGTTCTCTTCTGACAGAGCCCTTCACAACACTTCGATAAATACTTGATCCTGCTCTCCATATATGCCTATGACTCCCAAATGGTGTAAATAGGGATATTGCGCATATAAGTCCAGGATAAACAACAACATGCACTAATTCAAAGTCTGCTTTGCATTAACAGGGAATTAGGAAAGATAAACATGGGGACTAAAGGTATTCAGGGGGCCCTATATTTACACCAGAGGAAAAAATCACATATTTGCTTAAGTATTAGTGTAGCAGAGTTGGTTCCAGAATATTAGAGGGACAAGGTGAGTGAGGTAATACCTTTTATTGGACCAACTCTGTGTAAACCTGAAAACTTGCCCCCTTCTTCCAATGGAGATTTGTCCAATACAAGATATTACTTCACTCACCTCGTCTCTCTCTTATTTTTTAATCATTTTAATTTTTTTCATGTGAACTTAGCTCCTAATAAATGTTCTATACTGACAGCTATGGAGACTAAAGTCTGTCTATAAACTGCTAACAGATGAACGAACCTGCCAAGGTAATATTCATTCTTCTACTCTGTTTTTATCAAGTGAATCTTTAATTTGAATTAATCTGTTTTTAAATCATTTCTATTGCAGATCTTAATCACGTGTCATAGAATTATAAGCCAGAGAAAACTTATTAGGTGGTGACTGTTCTCTAGGGACTGATACAGGTGGCTTTAATACTGTCATTTCTAATGCTGTGTCCACTATAGGTATTAATGTTTTTAATAATAGGAATGGTGTGCAATTCCAGTAAGTCTAGCTGAAGCATAAGCAGCAGAGTGTTTTAGTGGAATAAGCACCAGTTAGGGAGCCCTGAGTTTTAATCCAAGTTCTGCATTAATTTGCTGTGTGTGTTTGGGCAACTCCTATAACCTTCCTGAGACTGGTATTTATCTTAGGAATATAGGCATCCCTGCCTCTTTCCACCAAAGTCCCTCAGCCAAATTGATCTAAAGGTGCCATCTCTAGGGGACCATTCAGTCCTTCACCTCTGTTAGCATTGTCAATAAGGGGGCGGGGGAGGGAATGTTTTGGTGATATTATTTCTAAAGACAAAGTGGGTGAGGTAACATTTTGGACCATCTTCTGTTTGGATTTGGAGCTTACACAGAGCTCTTCTTCAGGCCTGGCTACGCTCAAAAGCTTGTCTCTCTCTCATCAACAAAAGTCGGTCCAGTACCTCCCGGTGTCCTAGGTCTGACACAGCTATAACACCACGGCATACATATTATTTCCAATGAGACAGTTGTCTAGTTGGGAACTGGACAAGTCCTATATTCCTACCATTATTCCAGAAAGTAAACTAATCTTTTCCCATCTGTTCCTCACAGACATTGATGAGTGCTTGGTAAACAATGGTGGCTGTGACCATTTCTGCCGAAATACGGTTGGTAGCTTTGAATGCAGCTGCCAGAAGGGCTATAAACTGCTAACAGATGAACGAACCTGCCAAGGTAATATTCATTCTTCTACTCTGTTTTTATCAAGTGAATCTTTAATTTGAATTAATCTGTTTTTAAATCATTTCTATTGCAGATCTTAATCACGTGTCATAGAATTATAAGCCAGAGAAAACTTATTAGGTGGTGACTGTTCTCTAGGGACTGATACAGGTGGCTTTAATACTGTCATTTCTAATGCTGTGTCCACTATAGGTATTAATGTTTTTAATAATAGGAATGGTGTGCAATTCCAGTAAGTCTAGCTGAAGCATAAGCAGCAGAGTGTTTTAGTGGAATAAGCACCAGTTAGGGAGCCCTGAGTTTTAATCCAAGTTCTGCATTAATTTGCTGTGTGTGTTTGGGCAACTCCTATAACCTTCCTGAGACTGGTATTTATCTTAGGAATATAGGCATCCCTGCCTCTTTCCACCAAAGTCCTCTTTCCACTGGCTTCAATCCAAAGTAGCCCAGTGAGTCAAAGGGTTTGTAGTATTGGAACTGAGATGAGAATCAGCCCATTGTCTTAATTCTCCTATCTGTAAAATGAGGGGAATGAAACTTGCATACATACGTGATGGGGATATTGTGAGAATTAAAAAAGCTTCATATATGTCTATTGCTTGCTGCATGCATACATTGTCATCGGTCAGATGAGTCGCATGGTATTGTTTCTGTTCCTCGACTCGATGAGTGCATAGCTATTCCAACAAACTCATGCATTACCTTTATAATTCAGCTTCTACAAATGTGTGCAAATACACGACTGATCACATGTTCCCAGGAGATAATAGAAAAGGCAAATGTGTGGGGCCAGGTAATTTAAAAATGTGATGAAATATTTATGAAAATGTTTTTTCAGGAGATGCCCATCTCTGTTACTAAATGAATGTTTACATAGTGTTTAGAATGTGTAAAGGTCTCTATATAGTACTAAACAGTATTATTATTTTGGAGTTTCCAATACTTCCCCCCTTGCTCATCAATAAAAGGAAGGGGAACCATTTGAAGGATACACAAGCAATTTCAAAAGACTTTCCATTGCGTCTCGCTGGTACTACCACTGTCTGAAAAGCCTACCTCACCCTAACTGTGTGGTTAGACACAGGGGAGTCACAGCAAAGTGACTAGTACTGGGCAAGGCACAGATTGCGCCACGTGACCAGACAGAAATAGCACTGCAGGTTTGTGTCAGACAAGGACAGCTTGGCAGGTGTGGAGTTAGCCACTAAATATAGGGACAATTTTTTTTAAAGGAAGATTTCATCACACAATGAAGCAGGGAGGCAATAGATTTAACAGCCATGCTAGAAAACAGTAATTCACAGTGATACTTGAAACCCATGAGTCTAGATCTTCTCTCACCTTCGTTTAAATGGAATGGCATTCACTGAAGCCAATGTAATTACACCTGAGTTGAAATCAGGCCCCTTATTTCTGCTATGCAGGCTCGGGCACAAAGGAATAGAAGGACTGGATTTATTTGTCTGAAGCTGATGGTCATGATTGAAAGATTTATCATTTAATTTTTAATCATTTTTAATGTTTAATATTTAATATTCCTACAAATAATGATGAGATATTTGGGGTGCTTACAAGAAAATGAAGGCATCAGTTCAACAGTCAGTACTTGTTCCTCTGTGTTTGGTTTATCTATGTGCCTGGGTTTCGGAAAGAGGCCATTGGTAGTGAACATTTATATGCAGGATGTCAACAACACAGCTATATTTAAGGGGGTGATTTTTCTCCCATTATAAAATCTTCCTTTTCTTTGCTCATAATTTTTTCAATCCACATTCCTTTTGGTCTAGATTATGTGATTAATTTGATGTTAATAATTTAAATTTAATAAAGAAATGTCAAATTGATTTGGATTAATTTTATCCTCATAGTTTGCATAATTTAGATTAGAATTTGACAAAATAAAAATGTATCTACTGGTACTAAGAAGAATTGGTTAGTACTAATTATTACAGCGGGTCAGTTTGTAATTTTTCAAAACTTAATATATTTTAAAATTAATACAAAAGTGTAGACATGAGTTTTAGCTACCCTTCCAAAACTGATATCTGAACCAGTCTTCTCCCTGTCACATGATCAGACAGAGTGCTGGCCTGAAAATATGAACACGTTTCGTTCCCAGAGATCTGGAGTGGGGCTGGGGGCACTTTGTATCCTCTTGACAGTGAATTGATTTGGACATGTCAACTTTCTCCTAATCTATTGCTGTAGCAGGTACATCATTACAAGTCCAGAGAATTCCAGGCCCAGAGAAACTGCTCCAGTCATAGAAGTTTTCATTCTTCATAATATGAAATGAGGGAGAAGCAAGTTTTTTCCTGTCTGATGCCTGAGGTATTTGGGCTGTAAAGACAGATTACAACAATACAATGTGATGCCTGCTTCAAGGATGAGAGTGATTTGTGATTATTTAGCTCCTGTCTGGTGCTTCAAGAGATAATTGGTGAACTCATGCAGTCAGTATGACTGCTGATGATGAATGAAGGGAAGCTAATAGAGATCAAGGAATCACTGAAGTGTGAATCACCTGCATTTTGTTTTGTGCTCTATGGAGAAAATCTAGTCAGTGGAAGTGGTTCTAGCTTTAAATGGTAGGCACTGGAGAAAAAAGTGATCAGAGGTTGGTGACTGTTGCATTATAAATCTTTCTGGTTTTTCTGGTAATTGCTGGGAAAGGTTAACCTTAAAAGTGTCCTTGAGAGATTCACGGAAGTTTATTTTGGGTTGCCTTAGCCCTCCCATAGTGTGAATCACAACGTTTTAATTTTTATTTATGGCTGAGGATGTGGTACATGTTGTTTACAGTTTTTAAGTTCATTTGTCCTATTCTTAATGGTTATTATTGTAATTTTTTATTTTTATGTTCAATGTTGCTTTTCATCTTCAGATCTCATTTGGTAACTGAAATTATTGATTCCTTATGTATTTATATATTTGAAGCATTGATTTTGGGAATCAATAATGAAGGGACTCGGTGTATCTTGTTTGGTTTTAGTCCTGTCTAGCCTTCTTTGGTTTTGGTCCTGTTCTAAATGTGTCTGGTTTGGCTCGCTCTTTAATTTGGAAGGTAGTTATAGAGGCTCATCTGCAGATTAAGGTACTGATCTTGCAATCCTTAGGAATGAATGAGAAATTGAAATGAATGGGCATTTTGTCATATTAAACACTACAAAGTCAGGTCCTAATTATGTGTATGAGCACTAGTTTCTTAGTTACAGAAAAGTATCAGTAGAAGGGGGGAAATGTACACATCTTGCCAGAAATATTTTTTTAGTAACAGATGCAAAATGTACATTTAGTGTTGCTGCTGCTGCTTTTCCTTACTATTTTCATCACTGTCCTCATTAGGCAATTTACATTTTTCCATCAAGGGCCCTTAATGTGAAACTCTGAGGTTCCCTCACTTTGCCCCATTTCTTTGAAGTCTCTTCATGACAGGTTCCTGAGCCAGCTTTAAGATTTTAGGGACGCCTAGACAGTTAGTCTTTAACAAACCTGCCTCTGTCCATTCATATGGCTCCCACCACTGCAGTATCAGAGTGCCTCACAAAAATACACTCAGAACACCGCTATAAGGGTTTAGTCTCCACCAATAGTGTCCACATGTGCAAGATACAGAACACTGCAATTCACACCCCCTTAATCTGAACTGGGATGGGGGGAACTTTTGTAGATGTGCCCTGAATCTCAGTTCTAATTCCTTAACTGCCTTTCCTCCTATAGAGGGGAAGGTAGTATCTTTTATTAGACCAACTTCTGTGGGTGAGAGAGAGACTTGAAAACTATCTCCTGTGGAGGCTTCCCTCATGCATTTCTCTCACCAACAGAAGCTGGTCCAATACAAAAGATATTACCTCACCCACCTTGTCTCTAGTATCCCGGGACCAACATGGCTACAACATCACCACGTGCATTTCCTTCTATACAGGTAACATCATAAAATGAAAATTCATTGGTATCAGAAGTTTTGAAACCTGCTGATCAATAGGTCAGCTGAGTTCAACATTAGCAAATGGTGCGATTCATATGATACAGTATGTAGCATGTCATGTGTGTGAAAAATGGTTTTCATTTACTTATTTATGGCCAAACCATTTTCAGCCCTGGTTCTGGGGGCCAAACCATTTTCAGCCCTGGTTCAGCCCTGGTGCTGGGGGGGAAACCTGCTGGTAACGTATGTTGCGTATCACTGATTATTTTTCTAGGGCAGTGCTTCTCAGCCTTTCCCATTCTGCAGCCCCATATTATAACAGATTTTTTTTTTTATTCCTCTCCTTCTGCAATCACCAGGCTTAAGAACCCGTGTTCTGAAAAGTTTCAGAGAGCATCAGCAAAAACAAGGGATGCGTCTAGACTGGCATGATTTTCCGCAAATGCTTTTAACGGAAAAGTGTTTGGTTAAAAGCATTTGCGGAAAAGAGTGTCTAGATTGGCACGGATGCTTTTCCGCAAAAGCACTTTTTGCGGAAAAGCGTCCGTGCCAATCTAGACGCGCTTTTGCGTAAAAAAGCCCTGATCGCCATTTTCGCGATCGGGGCTTTTTTGCGCAAAACAAATCTGAGCTGTCTACACTGGCCCTTTTGCGCAAAAGGACTTTTGCCCGAACGGGAGCAGCATAGTATTTCCGCAAGAAGCACTGATTTCAGACAGTAGGAAGTCAGTGTTCTTGCGGAAATTCAAGTGGCCAGTGTAGACAGCTGGCAAGATATCCCGCAAAAGCAGCTTGTGGCACCTTCAAGACTAACAAACTTGTTTGAGCATAAGCTTTTGTGGGTTGGAGCCCGCTTCATCAGATGCTTGCAAAAACAACAAGGAGTCCTGCATGCACCTGAGTACGTGGGCTACAGCCCATGAAAGCTTATGCTAAAATACATTTGTTAGTTTTTAAGGTGCCATAGGGCTCCTTGTTGTTCATGTTCTGAAACAGTCCTGTAGATAGAGGCAACCGCTTTAACCCTTTTTGGGGGGCACAGAAGCTTGACCTCCTCCTTCTC